TTCTGAAAAACACTAACAGAGACTAGTCTTTTTGACTGAATGCCCTAATTACCCCAAATTGGAGTCTTCTTTTTGTCTGAAGCAGGGAAGATTATTGCAAGGATTCTTCTCATTTATCTACCCCAGTAGCCAAAAAGTGACAGCATAATTTTCATATACAGGAGCACCAAAAACATGTGCTTCACTGCACAGCAAGTAAGAAAAATGCACACAACAGCACTAATAGCTCTACATTACTCAACCTTACCAAAGCCTTAGACAGTCAAGCATGTAGACTCAAAGTTGGCTGCCTTCAGACATTTGTCACGATGTTCCAGCAACTCCATGATGGCATGCAAGCTGTAACCCCAACCAAAGACACCACCACAAACCCTACCTTGTGCAGACTTTTTTGGGAGTGGGGGGTGGGGGGAGGTGTCAAACAAGTCTTTGACATCACAGCATCCTTGTTCTCCATTATCCTTGCTGAAATACAGCCTCTCTCCTCCAGCAAATTACTACAAGTATGGAGATAACTCATTTAAATTACCCAGGGACAAGAAACTTAACAATCTGCACCATCTTCAATCCAGAATCACTCAAATTCAATCACTGAGCTTCACTACACAAATTATGCTTGCGTGCATTAATTCATACAAACAAGGAACAAGAATAAGCCACTCGCTCTTGATGGCTGATCTGACTTCAACCTCAACTCTACATTGCCATATATCTCCATAAATATTCTGACTCCTTGATAATCAAGAATTTATCTACCTCTACTTTAAAAATATTTAAAGCTGTTGCTTCCACTGCCTTTTGAGGAAGGAAATTCCAAAGTCTTTTATCCTTCTGAGCAAAAAAATGTTTCTTTACCTTTGTCTTGAATGAAGTAGCTCTTATTTTCAAACAATGACAGTTTCTATGTCAGAAACTGTTCCAGATCACTTTTTCTGAAGTTCTGAACTTCTGAAGTTTTCCGAAGAAGGGTCTAGGCCTGAAACGTCAGCCTTCCTGCTCCTCTGATGCTGCTTGGCCTGCTGTGTTCATCCAGCTCTACACCTTGTTATCTCAGATTCTCCAGCATCTGCAGTTCCTACTATCCCAGATCACTCTTGACTGCTCAGCCAGAGTACATGCAAAACAGGCTTTTCACAAAACATCTGGAATAGAAAGGTTCAATTGCAACCAGCTTGCGCAGGACGACACTTTCCTGAAAACCAACTGAGACCTTACTCTATGTTTATATAATTCCTCCTGTTTCTGAGCTACTCATCTCTGTCAACATTAGCTAACGCTGCAAAGTAATGCCCATTCCACAGGGCGTAGTTTAAACTTTCCCCAGTAATGAGAGCTATACATTCCTGCAAGACCAAACTCTGAAAGATGAAGCCCATCCATCTTGCATTGGTCAATTCTAGCTCAGAATTTTAACAAGGCCTGAAGAATTTGAACACTTTCCTGACTGTACAATTTCTCTAGCCATGTGTTAACCCATTTCACCCTTCAATTTCTGAAGTCTTCAGTTACTACCACATGGCACCATAGCGTAATCCAGATTGTTATCTAGGAGGTTCCATTTTTACAATTCTTCCCCACTTTCCAAAACTCCTGAATGAAGAATCTCACCAAAAAGGGCTGTACAGATACACAGAGAGATTTGGTGAGCTGAAGAAACGGTTATGTAGAAAGAATTCCAGTTATTTTCTGTACTAGCTCAAGTTCAGGAATAAATGAATTGACACCTCAAGTTAATTGCAAATTGTGTCATTATTTCTATTCGTCAACAAGATGGTAACAACTGCACACATATCACCATAACCAATTTGCATTTAGAAAGTTAATCAATACAAACTGGCACTACATTGTTGAAAATGAACTCAACAGTTGATCAGAGACAAAAATGTAACAAGAAAGAACAACTGGAAGAAAAAGTACAATATAAATTGAGATATCATATGACATCATGCACAAGCCTGATTTTGTTTAAGACAATATAGATGTTCCTGGAAACTGCTCACTATCCCCTGGTCAAAATATACCAGATATGAAAAAAAAATGCAAGTTGTATATTGCTGTAATTTGATCTAACCGGGCTTTGTATTTTGTTTCAATTGAAACAAGCACGTAATATTGCAGGTAAATCGCAATAATTGAAGGTAAATAAACCAAACAACACATTTAAAAACTTCAAAACATACAGTGAAAATACAATCAAACAATACATTCATGTACCCAAACACCAGAGTGAATCCCCTTGTCTATAAGGATTTGACTGATCTGTGGCTTCAATTACCTGTCTTGGGAATCTGATAACCTCTCCCTGAAGCCTTCGCACAACCAAGCTTAGACTTTCTCAGATTCAAACAATCTTTAAGGGTTTTAACCAAAAGCATCTGGTCTGAAACTTTTATACCGAATTACCCTCATTAAGGTAAACACTTTCTTACCAATCCCAAACAACCGTCTTTCCTCAGGAATAACTACTTACACATCTAGTCTTGGTCAACACTTCCTCAAACTTCCAAATTGAAACTAAAATGATTTTCTTTGAACTACAGCTATTTCCCAGAGTCAAGTGGGGGTGGAAAAAAAAAATCAATCCCTGACCTTGTAAAGTGAAATTGTAACATTCAACTGCTAACTTTGAGAAGTTTTAAATGAGTGAACAATGACAAAAATTCCCATTAGCCTCCGTGAACACTGTCAGACTGAAAAAAAATCACTATGACCACAGAAATATCTACAATTTGATCATAAAACTACTTCACACACCTGGCATAAAGGATGACATGTAGTTGTTGGATGTCAGAATCTCAGCTCCAGGACATCTCCGCAGGATTTCCTCAGGGTAGTGTCCTAGGCCGAACTGTCTTCAGCTGATGGATCAATGATCTTCCCTCCATCATAAGGTCAGAAGTGGGGACAGTCGCTGATGCTTGCACAACATTCAGCACGTTTGCGAATCCTCAGATACTGAAGCAGTCTATGCCCAAACACAGCAAGACCTAACTAAACACATCCAAGTTTGGGCTAACTAGGGTGTCACGAATATTATTATCCATAAGCATCAAGCAATGACCATCTCCAATATGAGAAAATCTAACCATTGTCCCTTTAAATATAACTGCCTGATCATCAATGAATCCCCCACTACCGACATCCTGGGGGTTACCATTGACCAGAAACTGAAGTGAATTAGTCACATTAAAACTTGATCTGATCTGATTTATTATTGTCGTATGTACCTAGATACTGTGAAAAGCTTTGTTTTGCGTGCAGTACAGGCGGATCATACCATACGAAGTGTATTTGAGTAATAGAACAGAGTGAGGAATACAATGTTACCATTGCAGAGAAGGGGCACAAAGAGTGAGATCAATGTTAAATTTAATAACAGTGGGGAAGAAGCTGTTCTTGAACCGATTGGTACATGTGTTTAAGCTTTTGTATCGCCTGCCTGATGGAAGAGGTTGGAAGACATTATAACCGGGATGGAAGGAGTCTTTGATTATGTTGGCAGCCTTCCCAAGGCACGGAGAAGTATAGATGGAGTCAATGGATGGAAGGTTGTCTTGCATGATGGACCGGGCTGCGTTCACAACTCTCGTTAGTTTCTTACAGTCCTGGGAACAGCAATTGCCATACCCAGCTGTGCTGCATCTGGACAGAATGCTTTCAATGGTGCATTTATAAAAATTGGTAAGAGTCTTTACAGAGGTGCCAAATTTCCTTAGCCTCCTGAGGAAGTTAGAGCCATTGTTGTGTTTTCTTCACCATCGCATCACATTGGTCAACCAGGACAGATTGTTGGTGATCATCACGACAAGGAACTTGACAGTCTCGACCATCTCCACCTTAGCACCATTGATGTTGACAGGGGCGATCCCTGCACCTTGCTCCCTTAAGTCAATGACCAGCTCTTTCGTTTTGCTGGCTTGGAGGGAGAGATTGTTATCTTTACACCACGCCAGCAAGCACTCTCTCTCCTTCCTGTATTCTGTCACGTTATTGAGATCCGACCTACAACAGCGATGTCAGTGAACTACTGTAGCAGCAAGAGCAGGTCAAAGGCAAGGAATCCTGCAGCGAGTAACCCACCTCCTAAATCCCAAAACCTGTCCATCATCTACAAGATACAAGTCAGGAATGTGATCGAAAGAATACTCCCCATTTGCCTGGATAAATGCAGCTCCAACAACATTCAAGAAGCTCAACATCAACCAGGACAAAACAACTTTGTTTCACAACACATGCACGAATAAAGCTCAGTAACAGTAGGTACCTTCTTCAAGATGCACTGTAGAAATTCACCAAAGCTCCTTAAACAGCACTTTCCAAACTCACAAACACTACTATCTAGAAGGACAAAGGCACAAGTACACAAGAACACCATCACCTGCAAGTTCCTTTCCAAGACACTCCCTGTCCTGACTTGAAAATTTCTCATTCTTCCTTCAGTGTTGCTGGGTCAAAATCCTACAGCAGCATAGTAGATATCACCTAGACCAAAAGGACTGCAGTGATTCAAGGCAGCAGTTCACCATCACCTTCTGAAGGGCAACTCGGGGTGGCCAATAAATGCTTACTTAGCCAGACTTGGCCACATCACACCAGTGAAGTTTTAAAAACCTATATGCCACTTGTTCAAAACTTAAATATCCAAAATAAACATTAATATATTCATAAATCACATATCTTACATCAGAATATCACAAAGTTATCCAGTCAACTCGTCTCGAGAGCATCAGTAATTCCTATGGCTCCTTACTATCTGTTCACCAGTTTTGTCAGTGTTTTGAAATCACAAAGGAAGAAAATGGAATAAACAAACTGATTGATTATGTCAAAAGCAGGCTGCCTTATATTTGACTTTTGACAAATTTGCCTGCACTTCACACCCAAGAAAAAAATTCCCAACAATGAATTTCTACCATAATATATCATCCCGTTGATATCATCAATTTAGTAGTAACATAATTTCTTGGAACCTTAACTCGACTGGAATAATTTTGTCTTACCCGGTTATTAAGCTGATCATCCAGACTTCCATTATTCACAGCACAGTTATGATCTTCAATATTTTCCTCGAACAAAGGATCACCACCAGTTGCCATCTTCAATTACTAGAAACAAGAGAGTTGGTATATTTTTTATTGTAACATTTGAAGATCAAACTGTCTATTTTGACACTTAAGTAAAAAGCATTTAATCAAAAATGCCCTGTAACGTAGTACACCATTTAATGCCTCCTCTATTGGCTTCAATTGTGGCTAAATTGCTGCACCCTTGCCTGAATCAGAAGATTGTATGCTGAAGTCCAATCCAGACTTCGGGACCAAATCTAGCACAACAAAAGGAGTGGTGCCTTCTCATAGGCATTAAACTGTGGCTTTGTATCTCTTTCAGGTAGACATAATATATTACAATGCAGTCATTATACAAGAGAAAAGTTTATTTCTCATTCAACAGCAAAAACGTCTAACACACAAAAACAGAAATTATTGGAGAAACACAGCAGGTTTGGCACCATCCATAGAGAGAAAAGAGCATTAATGCTTTGAGGTTATACACTAAATGGGTATTTGTTAGTTTACCACACTACTGTTTATCAGACTTTACAGTTTGTAAATTGGCTGCCAACCTGCCTGAATAACAAGCTCTGAATACTTTGAATGATGCTCATGTGCTTCAAGGCATCCTGAGATAGTTAAAGGTGCTATCATTCTCCTCATTTCCATCGCAAAATCTGCTCATGCAGGGATCGCGTTGGGAAACGTCTGACAACCAGAGGTGGATAAAAAATTTACAACCAACTAACTAGAAACAAGCAACTTCATGTTTTTTTTGCAAGTTTGGCAGCTGAAGAAACAAAAACACGAGATTCCGGATAACACCTCCTCACCTTGCGTCTCCTTCCCTGCTGAAACAGCTAACTTGCCAACCGAAAGATAAAGAAAACCGTGGAACTCGATCTTCAAAACCGGGATAAATTTTGAAACAGAAAGGTGTGGGGGGTGGGAAGGAGCTAAGAATTTATATCCACGAGTTGTCCGATGCAGATCAATCGGGGTGGTGAGAATTGCGGCAGGTCGGTGGGCCCGTCACCCCGGGCAACGGGGAGCCCCAGGGCGAAGCGGAGGCCTTGAAACGACGAGGCGATCCGCACCGGGAGCGGGAGCGGCAGCGGCAGCTGCAGCTGCAGGAGCACGAACTCTTCCCCACTCCCCGCCGGCCCAACTCGCAGTCCGCTTCTCACCCACCTCTCCCGGGGAAGCGGCTCCCTGTCCCTGGTTCTGGAAAGGGGAAAGGCCGGGCTCAGTAACGGATCGTCACCCCGCGCCTCGCGGGCTCGAGCGCGCTCTCCCGCCAAACCCCCTCCCCCACGAGCGCCGCCGCAGCCGTTACCGAAACCATAGAGATGGGGCCGGAAGTGACGCACGCGCAGGACAACAACAACAACAGCAGCAACCAACCTGAGCAAGAACGGGTCCGCCGCCACTTCCGCTTCCGGGTAAATAGATCGTAATCTATTCTGACCGCCCGGCAAAGTCAAATATTTCAACAAAACTGCAGAAAGTAACTTCAGTGTGAATTGTGGTAGAGGCACGTGTAACTGTACACTGTGTCGACGATTTCAAAGAAGGCCTGCTCACTGACCTTTGCTTTTCAAGTCAACGTGATTTCGTGACAGGGAAACTGAGGACCAACTGTCCTTTATTTTCAGGCATTTCCTTTGATTTTGAATGTCTTCCAAGGAGGCCTTTTGCTCCTTATTTCTAGGCAACACATCCGCCAAGACAAAGAGCCGGGGAGTATCCTGCCTCTGACTGGTTGTATCTTTTCGTGAGCATGCGAGCGGCGATCACAACATCCGTCCGCACCCACCCAACTCTCAGCACCGCTGGCAGCTCTTCCCCCTGCTCTATGCCCACCAGAACATATTGTCTGACAGACCAAGCGTTCCTAAAGTCATAAGGGTTAAGTTGATTATAAGGTCGAAAAAGGAATTCCTTACCCCACAGAGTTGTGGACAGTAGATCACTAGGAAATCTGATCGGCACAGATGAGTTGGGCTGAAGGGTCTGTTTTTGTTCTGACTATATGATTCTAAATAGTTCGAGGAGGTAGATGGATTTTTGAAAGATCAAAGGTTGTGGCCTGGAGGAGATCAGACATGATCTTGTTGAATGGCAGGCCAGACTTGGGAGGTTGAATGGTCTGCTCCTGCTCCTATTTAGGTTGTTACTTTCTTAAGGCTCGGGGGTTGTTGCAGTCAAGATCATCATCTAATCCCAGTTCTGCTCTGAAATCCCTATTCTGTCACACGCAGAAGTAATTATCTCAGTCCCTAAAGTCATCATGTTTCCCAAACCACCAAAAATGGTGGTGCCCCAATCTTACAAATGGTGGCCAGGATCACCACCTTAAAAGTCCAGAATGTTTTGTACACAAAATAGGCAAGGGCATTGGAATATGAATGTGTAGGAGATTGCTGATCTGATATTTGAAATTTTTGGGCATGGAAGAAAAGTTCACCATATTTCATCTAAGCAAGAATGTCTAACATTGACTGGAAATTCCCCCAGCCCAGATATGCCTCAATTTACCTTGATGAGATTTTTTTTTCTCAGTATAAAACTTGCTTTAAGAAGGAAGATTTGTAATCAAACTGTGGACATCATCTCAAAGACTAAGCTGTTTTTCATTGAAGCCAGAATTCAAAGCCTCATTCAGCCTCATAGCTCATCTTCAGCAATCAACCACAGTCTCTCTGTTGAGACCACACACATTCCATCAGGTACAAGGGACTTATCAGTCCCTGGCTCCATTAGTTTCCTGAACAATTTTTCTCTCATGATCATTATTATTTTATTTCCTCTCCTTTTGGCCTTGATTATTTTGTAATTTTGGAATGCTATTAGAGTCTTTTACTATGAAGACACATGCAACATATTCATTGAACTCCTCTGCCATTTCCTGGTTTCCTATTATTATTTCTCCAGCATTGTTGTCTAAGGGGCCTACGTTAACTTTAGCCTCTGTCTTCCTTTTTATATATTTAAAAAAGCTCTTGCTGTCTGGATCTTGATACTACTTGAAATTTTACCTTTGTTTTGGTTGTCATTTGTTGATCTATAAATCTTTGTCAGTGTTCTGGCTTACCAGGAATCTTTGCCACATTGGATGCTTTTTCTTTCAATTTGATGCTATCCTTAACTCATTAACCATGGTTGGCTTATCAACTTTCTAGAGTCATTCTTCTATACACATGGACAGGCATGCAGGCATGTGCGCACACACACACAGTTTCAACATCTTTGTATAAACACAACTCATTATGAGTTCCAAAAGCTTGTTTTTATAAATCCAGCAAATTCTTCCACAGTCCTTCAGTTAAAGATGTCCTTTTCCAATTTTGGTCCACAATCCAACATAAAGAAAAATAAAAATAAGTCATCTTTATAGTAGCAGAATCAGTACGAATAAAACAACATCACTTAAGCTCAGAAAAATAATCTCAAGAGGAGATCCCATGGACTCTTCAACCAGTGTATGCAATATTAATTTACCCAGGCCCCTTAGCATGTATCAGGAAAGGACTACACAGCGTGAGTCTGCAGTCAGTGAATCAGGTCACAATTTTATTTAAAGATAACAAAGGTGAAGAGTTAAATTTTACACTTTTAACAAATCTGTTGTTTACTAACCGATTCTTTACGAACTTAAAATACTTCCCATATATTTGTAACTTTGCTGGTCTGATGAATTATCCAGAGGGAGACAGCGAGAACTGCAGATGCTGGAGTCAAAGATAACACAGTGTGGAGCTGAAGGAACACAGCAGGTCAAGCAGCATCAGATGCACAGGAAAGCTGATGTTTCAGGCCTGGACCCTTCATGGACACAGTGGCTCAGTGGTTAGCATTGCTGTCTCAAAGCACCAGGAACCCGGGTTTGATCCCAGCCTCGGGTGACTGTCTGTGTGGAGTTTGCACATTCTCCCTGTGTCTACATGGGTTTCCTCCAGGTGCTCCAGTTTCCTCCCACAGTCCAATGATGTGCAGATTAGGTGGATTGGCCATGCTAAATTGCCCATAGTGCCCAGGGATGTTTAGGTTATGTGGGTTAGACTTGGGAAATGCAGAGGTAGGGGAATGGGTCTGGGTGGGATGCTCTTTGGAGGGGTGATGTGGACTTGCTGGGCTGAATGACCTATTTCCACACTGTATGGATTCTATGATGATATGCAAAGGTGCTTATTCTCATTTGAAAATTCAAAAAGTATTTAGGATAAAAACAACATGCTTAGCATTTAAATTGCAAGTCTGTTGTGGCTTAGACTTGGATATGCCTGTACTCGGGTTCTACATCTCATTCCCATTCAAACCATCTCAGGAGGGTTTACTTAGGGTGGGGAGCATTATTGTTCTTAATTTTTTAGGTTTCAAGTCCTTGCTGCTGAAGTGAAAATACTATGGACAGTCTTCAACAGGTGCCAATTTCATAATTAAAAGAAAAATTTCAGTGGGTTCTTTTGGGCTGGGCAAGTGGTTTATATTTTAGTTTTTCAGATCCCTGAATCCTGAAGTTCCAGTTCAGCTACTTAAAAGTAATTCTCCATGATCTGAAGTATCTTTGTACAACAACATATCTGTAAACTGCTACTGTTGTGTGAGCATAATGTGTATGAATGAGATAGTGTTGGCATTTTGTATCTTGTGCTTATGAGGCTGTCATTTTAGCATTCTGCTCACCACGTACTGTAGAATTTTTGTATGAAGAGGTTGTGCTGTGTTGGGGTGTTTGTTTCTGTTCAATTTTAGGACGTGTATCACAAAACATCATAATACAATCAATGGACTACATAGATGTTTCATCATGGGTTGGTGATAGCTGGCTTATTAAAAGGGTCTGCATTTTAGGATTTGGGATTTTTCAGGTTCTCCAAGGCAGATTGTTTGAATACTCCTCTGATGCTACCCTTCCTCAGAACGGTCACTAGACCCGAAATGTTAAATCTAATTTTTTTCTTCACAGATGCTGCCAGACCTGCTGAGCTTTACCAGCAATTTCTGTTTTTGTTCCTGATTTACAGCATCTGCAGTTCTTTTGGTTTTTATTTTGCTGAGGGAAGGTCCTGTCCTGGATTAGCGATGAACAGCTCAAATGTTTGTTCCAGGTGTTAACCCACAAGAACATCTCCAGCTGTCAGTTGCGGCATCTCACCAAGGTGTGGTATAATGTCCACTGCAAGAACACTCTTGGCGAGGCATTGGACTTGGTGCTAGGGATTCCAGTTATCCCAAGTGACAAAGTTGGGTTGAGCTCCTTTGAAGTTGAAAATATTGGAATTATAAAAAAAGGTATTTGGATGGGTTGCCATGATACCCTCCCGAATGCTGTGGTAAGACAGGGACTTTAATAGGGACCACTTTAAGTTAATGTGAACAAACAGACCATATCATCATCTGTCCGTACCCTGGGTATCCTAATAACACGCTCTCTGTGGTTTTAAAACAAACAGTGATTTAAACAGTCCTCTTGAATCTCAGAGTCTGAGGACTGATGTCATATGGGCCTCATACAGGGGGAAGGGAGAATACTGTGTAACAACTTCACTTGATAGCTGTCAGTATGGGGATTCCACCTGCAACACCATATATATCACCTTTTGTTTCAACCCCACATTCCTGGACGTATAGGCTTAATAGAGTTAATTGACATACATCAGAGACCAGTGACTCTCATCAATACTACTGATGAACTGAGAGATTCCCTCTGGAAATTCTTTGAGAAATATGACACAGGGATAAAACTCCCACCAGAGGAGCTGAATGAGCCTCAAACACAATTAACAAGTGCCCAGAGATAGTAAGAACTGCTGACGCTGGAATCAGATAACACTGGGAAAGGGCAGGTGGGGATGGCGATAAGTGAGTGCAGGTAGGCAGTGATTGGGATTGGTCAATAAGGTGGGAGGAGCGGATAGTTGGGAGAGAAGACAGACAGATCAAGGAGGCGGGGATAAGAGGGAGGGGTAATCATGGGATGAGGCCAGGATGGGGAGATTTTGAAACTAGTAAAGTCCACATTGAGACCATTGGGTTGTAGGCTTCCAAGGTGGAATATGAGGAGCTGCTCCTCCAGTTTCTGGGTGGCATCGTCGTGACACTGGAGGAGGCCCAGGATGGACATGTCATCCAGGGAGTGGGAGGGGGAGTTGAAGTGGTTCGCGACTGGAAGGTGTTGTCGTTTGTCACGAACCAAGCGTTGGTGCTCTACAAAGTGGTCTCTGAGCCTCCACTTGGTCTCACCGATGTAGAGGAGGCCACCTCCTCCTATAGCCCCTTCGATCATGAGCCCACCCTGAACACCAAAACATCATCTCCCAGACCATCTATAACCTCATCACCTTGGGTGAC